ATGGGGGGCTGGCTGCTGTGTGTGTCAAGTGCAGATGAGAAATTCGAAAAGGTGAGAATAAACACTTGAGTGAAATTCAAAGAGTTCCAAATTAGAAAATGTTTCAACACTTGCAAGGAAAGAAAATACAGCGGGATGAGACGGAGTTAGATATACAGCAGAAGGGAGGAAAATAAGAGCCTGATTGAAAAAATGCAAATGAATACCTAGCGGGAAAAGGGATTGCAAATACAGATGTAGCTCTGGGAGCACAGCTCTGAGACAGAGCTCGAGACAAAGCAGATGACACAGGTCCCAGTGCACAGTGGGTCCCAAGCGAATGCCCCTTGACTTAGAATAGTGATGGACATGAGGCAATTGTCATGAATACCACGTGGCCTTGCCAGAGCTCTGCTCACTGTGTGAATTCACATCAAGAAGTCCCGTCTGCAGTGGAGCCAGCAGAAGCAGAGAGGTGAGAAAGGGACTTTGGAAATTGACCACATTTCTAGACTTCTCTAGGAAGAAAAGGCTGGATTTATAGGAAATGGTCATGTGGAGATCAGAGAAACTGCAATGGTAGTGGGTGTCTGCCCAGAAAAAGTAACAGAAGCACATGGTCCTGGCGGTGGCCATGCTGTCTGCTGGGGCCCAGTGTTCCTTCTCTGCATCTTGTCCTTTGACTCTCTGTTGCATTACCATTCTACTGTTCTGGGACCCTGGCTATCAGAACTCATGCTCAGAAAGTTTCATTTGAACATTGATAGGGAGAATGACACACCCTTACTAATGCAATATTTCTACCAAAAATGTACAACCAGGGTCAAATCATGAGGAACATACAAACCTATAACTGGGACATTCTGTAAAATATGAGCCTGCGTTCTTCAAAAGGCATTCATGTCATGAAAGACAAAGGCTGAGGAACTGTCTCAGATTAAAGGAGTCTAAGGAGATACAACAACTAAATGCAATGTGTGATCCTGGATTGGAAAAACAAAAATTACTGTAAAGAGTAATAATGGGACAATTGTCAAAATTTGGATATAGACAATACGTTGGATAATAACATTGTATCAATGTTAAATATCCTGAATTTCATAATGGCACTGTAGTCATATAATATCCTTGATTTTAGGATATATAAACCTTGGTGTTTAGGGTTTAAGGGTCATGATAACAGTAGTGTACTCTCAATCAAAAAGAATGTGAATAATAGTGTGTGTGTGTATGCATGTGTGTGTACTTTCTGTCTTACAATAGTCTGAAAACAATCTAATGCTTCCTAGATAATTCCAGAGCATGTGGTGCTTTGGTGCCTCTATCATCGTGGCCATTTGGATGATACAATTGTGATTATAAAAGCTATAAGGGAAGGGCTACGTGTATGCTGAGCCCTAGACATTCTCTAAAATGTGTTTGGTTTCTAAATTCTCGTATCAGTTGTATTTCTTGTCACTTGCCTCTTTCTCCTAAAAATCAAAGGCACAGGATCTATTGCCATTTCCACCTAATCAGAGATGATTCAATATTATGGCACAGGCTCATGGTGGCCTTCTTGATCCTCTTGGTAGCGTCATCCACTCATTATCAGTTTTTCACTGGATTGAAACCAAGCTGCTTCATTTACCTGCTTTCTATTTTCAAGGAGCTCACTCAGGCCACTGGTTTAGTAGAACTCCTCCTGGATTCTCAATCTTCTGCATCACATTAGTGCAGTAAAGTGCTTAGTAAAGCACACAAAAGGCTGAGGCACAGAATAATTTAGGTATCATGGGCACTTACATATTCAGGAGAAGGAGGGAAATGACAGCATTGAGCCTTTTGCTGTAGGGCCAGAATAGAGTGAGACAAACTGAGGAAGTCCCTTTTCTCCAACCGTATGTGACATGAGTTATGCCAAAGGAGACCAGAAAAGAAAAATGTCTCCTCTAAGCTGATCAGCACCTTTGCAACTATTGGGGCAGCAGCTGCACATGCATATTCTCTCTGGGTCGTCCATATTCATGGGCACCGAGGATAGGTCTGGCAACACGTGGTTTTTTTCCCCACCAGTCAGCTAAATCTAAGTTTTAAATGCAAAGTGTGCATTTCAAGGACATTATGTGGATTTGTGGCAGTGCCTGGAGGACTTTCGGTCTATAAAACGAAGAATAAATTACAAGGACATATAAATAAAGCATTTTCATCAGTGACAGTCATAATGTTGTCACAATATCGAAGACAACTGGTGACTTTCTGTGATGAGCATGTTCTGTGGCTACAAAAAAGTGCATCACTAAACAGAAATTGGAATGAAAGAAAATGAGGTTATAATGGTGACATCTCAAGAGCCTCCTGCTTCAGAGCAAAGCAGGATGTGTGCAGTTCTGTTTCCCACTAAGCAGATCTGTTTGTAACTCAGCATGAGAAAAGCCACTGATCTGGAGTCCGTACCAGAGTAGATCTTTTCCAGGCCAGGGAAGTCTCAGTGGGGCTTCTAGTGAGCCACTATGTGTCAGGGAAAGGCAGGGGCTGGAAGGTTGGATTAACTCACCTGGAGCCTGAGATGATCTGAGAGCTGGCCCAAGGTCCTGGGATGTCCTTGTTCTTGTGCCCCCAAGGTCACTGTCTTAGTCGGTTTCCTGCTGCTATCACAGAATGCCACAGCCTGGGTAATTTGTATAGAAAAGTAATTTATTTCTCATAGCTGGGAGCTGGGAAGCCCAAGATCCTGGCTCTGGTATCTGGTGAGGGCCTTCTTGCTGCATGATTCCATGGAGGAAGGTGAAAGCAAGCATGTGGACAGAGCAAATGGAGGCCTAACTTACCCCCCCCACCTCCTTTTTTTTTGAGACGAAGTCTCACTTTGCGGCCAGGCTGGAGTGCAGTGGCGCGATCTTGGCTCACTGCAACCTCCAACTCCCTGGTTCAAGTGATTTTCCTGCCTCAGCCTCCCGAGTAACTGGGATTACAGGCATGCGCCACCATGCCCAGCTAATTTTTGTGTTTTTGGTAGAGACGGGTTTCAGCATGTTGGCCAGGATGGTCTCGAACTCCTGACCTTGTGATCTGCCCGCCTTGGCCTCCCAATAACTTACTCCCTTTATCAGGAGTCCAGTCCCGTGATAACTAACCCACTCTGCAATAATAGCATTAATTCATTCATGAGTGTGGAAACTTCATGATCCAATCACCTCCCAAAGGCCTCACCTCTTAGTATTACAATGGCAATTGAGTTTTTGACACATGAACTTTGAAGGACATATTCAAAGCATAACAGGAACTTTCCCTAGAGATCATTTATATCTTTCCAAGGATACTCCACCGGCAAAATATACTCCATCAGACTTTCATACCTGCCCTGTCAGACCTTTCTATTTGCCCTACTACCCTTCGTCTTAAAGCATTAGCCAGATAAATAATGACCCCACAGTTCTACAGGCTTCTAAACAACCACTTCCCATTTTTTACCTACTTAGTTCAACACATAACTTGTGTTAGGACATGATTGGCAGGCTTCAGAATCCATGACTACCCTGGGGCACAGGATGAGGAACAACCTCATGTGTAGGAACTTATGTATAGGGTCGTGCCCAAAAGCCTACCGTCTGGTATCAGCAGCCTACAAATCCAGAGATCTAAAATTAATTCATATTTCAAGATTGCAAGGCCTCAGGTCTATGCCACCCTGCTAGTTTTTTTAAGCATTGAGTTAAGAAAACATGTTAAGCATATACAAAAATAGTAACAAAGAACCTAAAAATGCAACAATCATAAGCATTTGGCCTACTCACTTCATCTCTACATTCCTCTCATCCTTTTTTGCCAGAGTATTGTAAAGCCAATTCCAACATCATGCCGTTTTACTCCTAAATATTTAAATATGCATCTCAAAAGACTAAGAACATTTATTTTACATAACCACAAGTCCACTGTCATTAACAAAATCCAGAATTCCTTAATATCATTGAATTCTGTCCTCATTCAAAGTTCCCTAACAGTCTATAAAATGCCTTTTTGAACTGCTTTATTTGGATCAGGTTCTAAATGAGGGCTACTCTATTATTTGATGGTTATGTCTCTTAAGTAAATTTTATATCTCTGTGTCTTTTAACAAGCACTATCTCCTCTCTCATTCTCTCTCTCTCTCTCTCTCTCTCTCTCACACACACACACACACACACACAGAGAGAGAGAGAGAGAGAGAGAGAGAAAACAAAGTCAGTTGTTCTATAGAATGTCCCACTTAAACCCAACATATCACTTTGAGATGTGAAGTTAAACCTAAAATCTTAATGAGTTTCAAGTTTAATTTTTTTCTTGGCAAGAATACTTCATAGACAATGCTGCGTACCTCACATTGTCTCACATCCGAAAGTATGTAATGTTTGATTGTCTCATTTTGGTGATACTTAATCTAAGGTTGATTTGTTTGTTTCAAACTGAAATTAAACATTTCCATTCAACCAAAATCAAAACTGTAAAACAAAGTGCATTCAGAGAAGTCTCACATCTATCCCTGCTCTTCTGTCTGGTCTCTTCCCTCTTCTTAAAGGCAATCAGTCGTTGGGTTTTTTTGCATGGTTTGTTTTAACAAATATAAGAAAATTCACACATACCTTTCTTACACAAAAGGCATACTCTGTACATTATACTACATACTGTATACTATATACACTATATATATTGTTCTGCAGTTTGCTTTTTTCACCTTGAAATATATCCTGGGTATCACTCCATATCAATATATGGAGTTTTTTTTTTTTTTCAGTTTTAAAGGATTCCATTTTGTGAATGTACCATGTTTTGTTCAAGTAGTCCTATATTGATGAACAGTCTGGTTATTGTCAATCTTGCTATTACAAAACAATTACTACAGTTAATAATGTGCATTCATCATCTTGTTTTTGGCAAGTGTATATTTGGTAAAGATTACTAGAAGTACGATTGCTGCTCGGAAGGTAAAACATATATAATTTTGCTAGATAGTCAATCAAATTATTAAGTCGAATATTAATTTACTTTGTTTCTCCAATCAGAAAGAAGCCAACAAAACATATAACTGTGAAAATTTAGGTCTCAGTGAAATCCCTGACACTCTACCAAACACAACAGAATTTTTGGAATTCAGCTTTAATTTTTTGCCTACAATTCACAATGGAACCTTCAGCAGACTCATGAATCTTACCTTTTTGGATTTAACTAGGTATGTATCTGAGTTGTATGTGTGCTTTTGATATTTTACCTAAGTTAAAGTACACTATGTGCTCAATTTATTTGCAGGACCTTTTTTGGAGGCCCAGGGACAATCTGCTTATACTACATGTTTATACCTCCCTATGAAATACTTCTGTGTGGGTGAAATGTAATTTAAATAAACATCAACCAATGGAGAGGAAAGTGGATTGCTCTCAAACTAGTTGCAACAACAGTACTGTTTGAGCAGTTCTAAAGAATACTGATAGCAAAAATGAAAATAATCTTATATTAAATCAGATGCCAAACTATGCTGAATTTTGGCATAGTTTATTTTTGGGTAATGACATTTAAGAAAAATTTCTAGGAGAAAAGCACACCATCTACTTCCCCCCTGCCCCAAGAAATTGGAAAATGAGTTCCATTATTTTGTTATAGTGGTGGAATTGGGATTCCACATGCTGAGCCAGTGTTTGAGAACCAGTAGACAGAAGTATTACAAGAAAATAAGGGAAGAAAATGAAAGGACTGTACTCTGTGTGTGTGTGTGTGTGTGTGTGTGTGTGTGTGTGTGTGTAAGAGAGAGGGGACAGGCTCTGTGTGGACCTTCAGTCTGCACCCCTTGTGGCAGTTCTGCTTCTTCTATTTTGTCCTTCAACTTCAGCTTCTGTGGACAGAATGTCCACATCCATAGTACCGCTTCATCTTTAAAACCAGCACTGTGAGGTTCCATGGTGCATATTATCATCCAACTTATGGTTAGAGGAGGAGACCATCTGTGTGTGTGTGTGTGTGTGTATGTGTGTGTAATCCAGTATTTTTAGGTGCAATACCAGGATGGTTTTCTCAGATGAAAATACAGAGGTTGAGAAAAGTTGTAACTTGCCCGGGATGACACAGATTTTTGTGTATATATATATATATACGTATTTATAGTATATATTATCTATTATGCATTCTATATGACATATTTTGTATTACTTAAAACAGTAAATAATAGTTTGATTTTTGCCCACAATCAAATGATGTGTGGTTCATTAGAATACAGGCACAAACCTCTGAGGGTTCAATCTAAGGGGTGAGATACCCGGAAAAAAATCTAGATTGGAATGTTCAGAAGTGAGGCTACTCATTAATTCCTTCAATAGGCCATCTGTTGATACTGAAGAAAGTTCTTATGTTTGATTTTGAATGATACAAAAGATGACTTTGTTAATGTGTGTCACTGTATAGGTTTTTATTTTTCCTTTTTGCAAATGAATTATTGTTAAATACAGTTATCTTTTCAAGGTGCCAGATTAATTGGATACATGAAGACACTTTTCAAAGCCATCATCAATTGAACACACTTGTGTTAACTGGAAATCCCTTGATATTCATGGCAGAAACATCGCTTAATGGGCCCAAGTCACTGAAGCATCTTTTCTTAATCCAAACGGGAATATCCAATCTCGAGTTTATTCCAGTGCACAATCTGGAAAACTTGGAAAGCTTGTATCTTGGAAGCAACCATATTTCCTCCATTAAGTTCCCCAAAGACTTCCCAGCACGGAATCTGAAAGTACTGGATTTTCAGAATAATGCTATACACTACCTCTCTAGAGAAGACATGAGGTCTCTGGAGCAGGCCACCAACTTAAGCCTGAACTTCAATGGCAATGATGTTAAAGGTATTGAGCTTGGGGCTTTTGGTTCAATAGTCTTCCAAAGTTTGAACTTTGGAGGGACTCTAAATTTGTCTGTTATATTCAATGGTCTGCAGAACTCTACTACTCAGTCTCTCTGGCTGGGAACATTTGAGGACATTGATGACGAAGACATTAGTTCAGCCACGCTCAAGGGACTCTGTGAAATGTCTGTTGAGAGCCTCAACCTGCAGAAACACCACTTCTCTGACTTCTCATCCACCACATTTCAGTGCTTCACCCAAATCCAGGAATTGGATCTGACAGCAACTCACTTGGCAGGGTTACCCTCTGGGATTAAGGGTCTGAACTTGCTCAAGAAATTAGTTCTTAGTGTAAATCATTTTGACCAATTGTGTCAAATCAGTGCTGCCAATTTCCCCTCCCTTACACACCTCTACGTCAGAGGCAACGTGAAGAAACTTCACCTTGGTGTTGGCTGTTTGGAGAAACTAGGAAACCTTCAGACACTTGATTTAAGCCATAATGACATAGAGGCTTCTGACTGCTGCAATCTGCAACTCAGAAACCTGTCCCACTTGCAAACCTTAAACCTGAGCCACAATGAGCTTCTTGGTCTCCAGAGTCAGGCATTCAAAGAATGTCCTCGGCTAGAACTCCTGGATTTGGCGTTTACCCGCTTACACATTAATGCTCCACAAAGTCCCTTCCAAAACCTCCATTTCCTGCAGGTTCTGAATCTCACTTACTGCTTCCTTGATACCAGCAATCAGCATCTTCTAGCAGGCCTACCAGATCTCCGGCATCTCAACTTAAAAGGCAATCACTTTCAAGATGGGACTATCATGAAGACCAACCTACTTCAGACCGTGGGCAGCTTGGAGATTCTGATTTTATCCTCCTGTGGTCTCCTCTCTATAGACCAGCAAGCATTCCACGGCTTGGGAAAAATGAGCCATGTAGACTTAAGCCACAACAGCCTGACATGTGACAGCATTGCTTCTGTTAGTCATTTTAAGGGAATTTACCTCAATCTGGCCGCCAACAGCATTAACATCATCCCACCCCATCTCCTCCCCATCTTGTCCCAGCAGAGCACCATTAATTTCAGTCACAATCCCCTGGACTGCACTTGCTCGAATATTCATTTCTTAACATGGTACAAAGAAAACCTGCACAAACTTGAAGGCTCGGAGGAGACCACGTGTGCAAACCCGCCGTCTCTAAGGGGAGTTAAGCTATCTGATGTCAAGCTGTCCTGTGGGATTACAGCCATAGGCGTTTTCTTTCTCACAGTATTTTTATTATTGTTCACCATTCTGCTCTTTTTTGCAGTTAAAAACCTTCTCAGGTGTAAATACCGACACATTTAGTGCTGAAGGCTTCCAGAGAAAGCAAATAAATGTGCTTAGCAAAATTGCTGTAAGTGAAGGAACTGTCATCTGCTGGTGACCAGACCAGAATTTTCAGATTGGTCCTGGAGCTGGGCAGGGACTCACTGTGCTTTTCTGAGCTTCTTACTCCTGTGAGTTCCAGAGCTAAATAACCTTCTAGGCAAGTACACCGAACCGACTCAGGCCAGAGGGCCAGATGCTGCTGTGAGAGGCACAGAACCCTTTCCGCATGTGGAAGAGTGGGAGGAAGCAGCGGGAGGGGCTGGGCAAGGACTGCCAGCTCCAGAGTCACCCACAGGGAGGCCGTTCCCGTTCTACTCACCGACATCCCTCCCAGCACCCCACACCCCTCCCCTGAAAGGAGATCATCAGCCCCCACAATTTGGCAGAACTGAAGCCAGCCCGCTACCCACCCCAGCCACAGCATTGTGCTTGGGTCTGGGTTCTCAGTCATGTAGCCATTTGGGAAACCTAGTTGGGGACAAAGTCTCAATGCTTATTTTAAATGAAAAAAGAAAAGCATAATGAATTTAACAGAAAAGGCTGAGAAATGAAACTTGGTATCAAATAGACTCCATTAATCTTCTTAATCCTTAAGGTCTCTGTAATGCCCCTAGGGTGTGAATGGCTATAAAGAAAAGAACCCATCCCCAAGCTTTAGAATTTCTTCCATGTTTGTCTCACTCAGTTCAGAAACCAGGCAGGCTCTCTCTGCCTATCTGGTGTTCTGGCTCTTACGTTACAGATCCTAACTTGCAGGTGGGCTGTGATCCAAAATGCTCTTCTCATCTGGTTCTTAGAAGCCTCTTTCCCAGAAGATCTGTGAAATAAATAGTGGTTTGGTTCTCAGACTAGCCCTTAAAAGCCTATTTGTTTTGGAGAGCATTTGAAATAGCATATTGACATGAAAATGAGGAAGAAGACAGCCCTGCATGCTAGCTGTTGGGAACACAGTAAAGCTGGATGAGTGAGAAGTGGTTTCTGTTGAGGCTGGGGATGTCAGTAAAGGTCACATCAGCAATGGACAGCGGCCTGGACCACTGAATGCAGATAGACAAAGAGCAATGTCATGACTTAGACCTAAAGGGCCATACTCACGCAGGCCTCTATCTTCTGAAGTTGATTGCCAGACAAGCTGGGCGGGAGCTCCTGGACTCAAGTGGTGCGTTAACAAGGCCTGGATTCTGTTCCATAACCAGTTTTAGAGTAGAGATAGAGATGGTAACTTGTAGTTATAAAATTCTGATAGGCTAACAAAGTAAAAATGTATCAAACCAATCAGAATATATTAGCCCTTAAGTTGAGGGCATACTAGTGGGACGTCATAACAGAGTGGAAACTTGGGGGTCATCCTTTTTGTCTTTTCACCCCCAGGAAAAGCAGGAAAGGCAGGGAATAGCAGTGGGTGAACCTCTTCCCTGCTCAGGGATTTCAGGCCTTCACACTTGCTCTTTCCTTTGCCTGGAAGACGCTGCCATTGACCTCCAAATGGCTTGTTCCTTCATCTCCTTGAGATTTTAGTGCTAATATTTTCTCCTCTCAGGGAGTTCTTCTCTGACCTAGCTAATCCAAAGTAACCTCTATGCCTCACCTGGTTTTATTATCTTTATAATGCTTATCCGTGTTTGGAATTATCTTCTTCATTTGTTTTAATTAGTCTGTCCTGTCTTGTTTCTCCCAAATACAAGCTCTATGAGAGGGTCTTTGCCCAAGGATACCCTAGAACATGCCGGGGACATAGTAATGAGTCTTTCTCTCTCTCTCTCTCTCTCTCTCTCTCTCTCTCTCTCTCTATATATATATATATATATATATATATATATATATATATATATATATCACTCTAACCTCCGCCTCCCAGGTTCCAGCGATTCTCCTGCCTTAGCCTCCCGAGTAGCTGGAATTACAGGCGCCCACCACCACACCTGGCTAATTTTTGTATTTTTAGTAGAGATGGGGTTTCACCATGTTGGTCAGGCTAGTCTTAAACTCCTGACCTCAAGTGATCTGCCCGCCTTGGCCTCCCAAAGCGCTGGGATTACAGGTGTGAGCCATCGTGCCCAGCCAAGACTCAATATGTTTTTAATATGTGCTGATCCCTGAGCCTTTATTAGCTCCTAGTTCTGTCACCATGCCCATGCCGCTGACTTTTAGCTCCTGACCTCGCCACAGTTTCCTGGGCCTCCCACATGTTTTTCACTGGCATCTCAAAGGGAAGTTTTTACAAAATGGATTCCCAGGCCTCACCACCAGATTCTGAGATGCTGTTGGACTAAGGTTGGCTCTGGGTTCCCAGTCAAATGATTCCATGTAAAATGTGGAAGGTCCACACTCTAAGAATCCAGTCTTAGATAGCACCAACCCATTGAGTCCCTGCATATTCTGTCATAGGTAAGCCCTTTCTTGCCTTAGGGATTTAAGCTGCAGATGGGAAATACTAATTGCTGATTTACCAACCCATAGACATACTGTCCTCCATAATATTTAATATGTAACTTGGAAAAACGAAACCATTCTGTAGAAAATCTCTGATGTGAATTGCATCACACTAACAGTGAAGGGGCCCAAGCCTTAGCAAAGCATAATTGCCCATCCTGCTTTCCCTTCTCAGGCCCGCTCCCTTCCATGCGATGCAGCTTGCTGCTCCATAACTGATCTAAGGCTTTGTGACAGCTGCTCTGTTTTAAGCAACAGTAAATTCACCCCACAAAGTCAGAAAGGGAGCTTTTTGATGGCTGCTGTCAATTTTATTGCTTTATCCTGTTTACTAGGATAGAATCTGTAACACGGTGTGTTTATTGGTTTTATGTATTGCATGTTGTTGCTGCTCTGACAAGCTACTCCTATAAAAATGTGTTATTATTGCATGATGTAGCTCAGTGAGCTGACCCTGCATTTCAAAGGGTACTGAAGCAAATAGCATCGAAGTCCATAAAAGCTGACTGGCCTACATCATAAAGGTCTCTCTGTGTGAGCTGCAACTCCTACAATCCAGGAGAGAATTACACCTTTCCCTGTGCCAGCAGCCACTGCTTAGTACAGCACAGCCCTTGAACACAGGCATTATCTGTAAAATTCCAAGACAGAAAACTGTCATACCATTCTTATTTGTCCAACTCTCCAATCAGGGTTGTTTGCAATTTTGATGTTTATAAAAGTATGAAACAAATGGCTCTTGTATGTTTTCCTATATTAGTATAGTGTGCAAGATGGGTAGCTGACATTGGCCCTGAATGCTGAATAGAAGCTTGAATTATAGCAAGAGGGATGTGATTGTTTCTTAGCAAGTCATGACTGGGGGGTCCCAAGTGTTGGGCTGGAGCTGATTGCCTGACATGCTGAGTATGAAGGTGTAACATGGTGGGAGTTAGCTTGAAGGCTGTGGAGGAATGAATGAGCCCAGTGGGCTTTTCTAGTTTAACACCAGAATAATCGGGGGACTTCTTTACAAAACAGATTCCTGTGCTTCATCCCTAGATATTGGGATTCTGTTAGACTGGGATTGGTCTTGGACTCTTGGCCATGTAAAATCCTTCCCTTATCTTAATGTTATCAACCAATAGCACAAGTATATGTTAGGCCCCATGAGTCAAATGAGCTGGAGAATTGCTCCTTATCCCATAAGAGGAAATTTCTTAACAAAATGGGGAAAAAGCGCTAAGGAACCCTCAAATCCAAGGGTGAAACGTCCTGGTCCGGCAGCTTGTTAGTCCCTTCTGCCGTCACCACCATACTCTAAGACCCTGCTCCTAACGCCACCCTGCTCTCCCACCCACTCCCACCCATTCTACTTTATCCTAGCTATTGACAATTTGAAATCATTTGTTGAATACTGTGGAACTTGATAAAGGTAAGAATTAATCTACATATTCTGTTTAAAAGCTGTTATTGCTCATGAACTATTAAGCAGTGAAGTTCATTGAACACCATCCTCCAATCCTCCCCATCTTTTGTTAATGTTCTAGCACTTGGCTGGATCCTGCAAAGGTAAGCAGAGGACAAGTCGCCACCAGAACATCCATTCCATCTCCTCCTCCGCCCTCCAAGGTGATTAATGGGCTTTCTAAATAAATTGGGTCTCCCTTTTTCTCTTTCTCTCTTCCTTGGAGGGAACCTAAATGTGCAACAATAGATAAATGATTACGGATATTAGATGATCTGAGTAAATGAGGAGATACTCCATGCTCTTAGTTGGAACATCTTAACATTAAAAACATGTTCATTCTATTAGCAGCCAGAGAAATACAAGTTAAAATGAGATAAATGTTTATATCTATTGGACTGGCAAAGAGAAAGCCAGATGATAGTCTAGTTGGGGCTGTGGGGTTTTAGGAACTACATGCCCTGATTATGGGGATGTAGACTGGTACAGCCATTCTAGGACCATCTGGCAACAATTAATCAAATTAAATGTATTACCCACAAACTGCTCTGGGGTTTTTTCCCAAGAAAGCATCATATGTCCACAAAGATATTCATTGCAGCATTATTTGTGGAGGGGAAAGTTCACAGCAATTTGAGTGTTCTGCACTAAGAAGTAGGTGAGTAAAATGGGGAAGATGCTCAAGACAGGGAGCACTAGACAGTAGTTAGAAGCAGTGTATTAGATGTAGCCATAGCAATGTAGTTGAATCATAAACATATAGATTATGATATAGATTTTTTTTTTTTTTGAGACAGAGTCTCACTCTGTCATCAGGCTGGAGTTCAGTGGCACCATCTTGGCTCACTGCAACCTCTGCCTCCCAGGTTCAAGTGATTCTCCTGCCTCAGCCTCCCGAGTAGCTGGGACTATAGGCGTACACCACCATGCCCAGTTAATTTTTGTATTTTTAGTAGAGACAGGGTTTCACCATGTTGGCCAGGATGGTCTTGATCTCTTGACCTTGTAATACCTGCCTCAGCCTCCCAAAGTGTTGGGATTACAGCATGAGCCACCGCACCTGGCCAACAAAATAATATATTAACATGGCCATCCACATAACTTAAAAAAAGCATGCATAAAAACAATGATACATACATTTTTCAGGAACAAAAACAAAAAGATAAACCATTAACATAATTGCTTATGGGGTGGTGGTGGAGAATGGAAGGGACTGTTGGAATAATTAAATGAACCTTAGAATAGGCCAAAGTTGATGTGCCAGGAACAGAAGAGTGAGATGGCCTCCATGGTCTGTACCTGAGGCTCTCTAACACATTTATTGAAAGAAAGGAAAAACATTTATTGAAAGAAAGCCATACCACGGGAAAGAAAGTAGTATGGCTCAAACGTATAATGAAACATCATGCAGTCATTATATATATTGCAGAAGTTTGCTTATAAACATTGAAATATATTTGTTTTAATATTCAAGTGAAACTGGCCCAAGAGTTTCATAGACAGCTGCTTTTGGATAAACATAGATATGTACCCTTCTGCTGTTAAAGCTTGAAACTTCTGTTTTATCTGAGTTCCTTTCTCAGGAAATGACCTTCAGGACTCTCACAAAAAGTATCGAAGAACTGAAACCAGATTGCCACACCAGATGCCGCACCCCTCATTCACTACGACTGCTTCCTTGCCCCTCCCAAGTTCCTGTTTTCTTACACATTGTTACATTTTTTTTTTGCGTGCTATATAAACCATTGGTTTTAGTTGGTCAGGGAGATGGATTTGAGACTGAGCTTTCCTCTCCTCTGCTGCATCACCCAATTAATGGCTTCTTCCTTGGTGATACCTGTCATCTCAGTGGTTGGCTTTTTGTGCAGTGAGCAGCAGGACCTAGACCAAATCCCTGGTGTTTTGGTGACACAAGTGGAAGAGTAGAAGAGTGGGCTAAAGAGCATGCCCACTGTTATTTCATTATTCAGC